TATACAAATACGACGGTAATCGATCCAGAGGTCGACCAAGCAGAAGATGGACCGCATTAGTATCCTAGACAATGAAAAGTACTACAGACGAAGCAAACAGAAGGACCCGTTCCTGAGATGTCTTAATGTCGTGACACCGTGAGGCATTCCAGGAGTAGAGACAGGAAGAGTCAGAAGAATCTTTATTGTTGAGCCAAGAACTAACACGCCTGATATTCCTGTAGGCGCCCCATCCTCATCTTCAGCAGTTAGCAAAGAGTCTCCACTCTGTTGGTGCTAGTGCAGTTTGATTATATGCCCTTTTCATTTTCCTTTTGCGAGTAGAGTGTCAACCAGCTCCTCTGGTAATGCCTAGCTGTGCCATTCTCTATAGTTAATCTATTCGTGTCTTCACTCGTTCACTTCAACACTGAAAAGACAGAAGTAATGTCAATAGGAAAAAAGAAGATAGATCTAAACATAGCAATAGAATACAAAGGCATTAAACAGGCATCTGAGTTTAAATATCTGGGAACTACATTTACCGAAGATGGGAAATTGGATAAAGAAATTGACATTAGATGCAGGAAAGCAAACCAAGTATTGGGACAGCTAGCGCCCCTCTTACAGCATAAGACAATCCCAATCAGCACAAAGAGACATCTTATTCAAAGCATATTTATTCCAACTCTGTGCTACCAGTGCCAGACATGGTCACTCACAACAAACCATAAAAGAAAATTAGTAACCACGGAAATGAGGTGTCTGATAAGGGCTGTAGGAGTGACCATAAGAGATAAGATCAGGAATGAGATCATAAGAGAACAAGTCGGCACAGAACCAGTTCTGGATTACATACAAAGACAGCAAGTGAAATGGTTTGCCCACTAGAGAGAATGCCTTGTGACACCATACCATACAAAGCACACATGGAAAGAGAAAAAGGACGTAGAGCACGAGGTAGACCAAGAACAGGATGGAAGGATAACATCAGAGAAACTCTACAACAGCACGATGTGCCTATGGTCGAGGCAGCCAGAAGAGCTAGAAACAGAACCTTATATCTCCCTCGACACCCACAGCGGTAAAAGAGGAAGTGAAGAAAAAGAAGAAGACTTGTTCACTTGCTCCGAAAAGGCTTTGGCCACATCTAGCTCCTCATGCGTAAATGCAACTCCACTGGGGCAAAATCAGCCATTCAGTGTGCATATTAATTTCCCAACACTCCTGCACACCGTGGAACAACTATCAAAGGAACTCTAACTACCCAAGACCTCTGTTGACGTGCATTCTCTTTTTTTTTCTGCACTCATGTATGCACGCCTAGACATATTGGGCTAATCCCACCGTTGATTGGGGCGGTCGTAAAATTACTTGTTAAATGCTGCCTGTAACTACATCCTAGCACTTCAGTCCTACCCATTCGTGCTCAGTCCTCCGATGCAGCTTCTCAGTGTCTCCATTCTCATTGTACCCAGGAGGAGTTGGTTAGCATCTCTTCTGTCTTTGTCCAACAGCTGGTTTCCACAAGCTTGTCCCTGTTTCGTCCCCATTTGCAACAGGCGATCCATTCTCTTTGACTGCTTTGTCTCAAAGTCTCTGGAACGCAGCGCATTTAATATGTCTGCCATGTGAATACTTCTTCTCCCACCAACTACTGCAGGCATGGCCAATCTTTCGGCTCTTTCATTTCCTTTCACTCCGACGTGTCCCGATGTGCACAGCCAAGAACTTTTCTTGAGACGGGTAGTAGATGCTTTGCTGGGAAAAAATCTTCATATTCAACCAACATCCCCAAAGGGAGGAGATTTAGGTTATAATTGTGACTAGGTTATGGGCGCCATATAAAATGGCTTAGCGTTACACGCCACCAAGGGCCGTGAAAAGGACTCTTGCAGTAGACTAAGTCGTCTACCGGCCAACCAGTGAGCGACCCGGTCGCCGATGATGTCCATACTTCTCACACTACCAGCTGCTACATGGCCAGTGTGTCGGCTCTTTCATTTCCTTTCACTCCGGCGTATCCCGGTGTGCGTAACCAGGACATTTTCTTGATGTGGTAACTGGATACTGTCAACCAATTTGGAGTTTGCCAGTTTGGATACTTGTAATGGTTAGACCGGCCAGGTGACACTTACAGTTCACTGCTGGTGAGGGTGATCCATGTACCTTGGGAACCGCATTACCTGGACACACATCACACCCCATACCACAGTGGAACTCCCCAACCCGAATACCACTTAATCAGACTCAAAAGTAAAAACCCCTAGAATTCCAGAAGTTTCAGAACTAAGACCCAAAAAAAGCGCTAATTGGCATTATTCAATCGTGTGTATGCCGGGCGCTATGTTTCATACAGCAAGCCAAACTGGACTCCGACCAACGCTTGCTGTTTTGGCAATCAATATCTCAGCTATTCCTTCGTTCATTATTTCAATAGCAGTGTTTGGCTTGCCAAGTGTTATTTCTGAATATTTTTTTTTTTTCAAGAAGAGACAAAGCGATGGATGTTTAAAACAAACATCCGATAAACTGTGAATGTTGGTTGTGAAATGGAAGCTTCAAGAAAAGGCGTGCCTAAACATTTTTTAAGGCACCAACTAGACAATTTCCAATAACAGAAATCTCTGAGCATCCCAATTACGATGGGTTGAACAAGATATTGCTGTTTAAATTACTACTACTATTACTGCTGCTGCTGCTACTACTGCTGCAGCTGGTACTACTACTACTGCTGCTGCAGCTGCTACTACCGCTGCTGCTACTACTACTGCTGCTGCTGCTTCTGCTACTACCGCTGCTGCTATACTACTGCTGCTGCTGATACTGCTGCTGCTACTACTACTACTGACTGCTGCTGCTGCTACTACTTACTGCTGCTGCGGCTACTACTACTATTACTGCTGCTGAGGCTACTACGCTACTAATAGCTACTGCTACTACTAACTACTGCTGCTGCTGCTATTAATACTACTACTACTGCGCTGCTACTACTACTGCTGCTGCTACTACTGCTGCTGCTGCTATACTACTGCTGCTGCTACTACGACTGCTGCTACTACTGCTGCTACTACTGCTACTACGAAAAGGAAGGAAAGAAAGGAGGAAGGACAAGGAAAGAAAAGAAAGAAGGGAATAGAAAGACAGACAGAAGAGAAACAGAAAGGAAAGAAAGAAAGAAAGAAAGAAAGGAAAGAAAGAATGAAGAAAGAAAGAAAGAAAGAAGAAAGAGAAAGAAAGAAAGAAAGAAAGAAAGAAAGAAAAGAGAATAGAAGAAAGAGAAAGAAAGAAGAAAGAACAGAGAAGAAAAAAGAAGGAAAAGATAATAGCACTCGAAGAAGAAGAAAGAAAGAAAGAGAAAAGAAAAGAGGAGCGGAGGAGAAGGATGGAGGGGAGGGGAGAGGGAGGAGAGAGGAGAGAGAGAGAGGAGCTGCTCTTCTAGGAGAGGAGAGGAGAGAGGAGGGGAGGATGATATGAGGAGGAGAGGGAGAGGGGAGGGGAGGGGAGGGCCTCATCCTATCCTCCTCCTCTACCTCTCCGAGGAGAGGAGAGGAGAGGAGTAGGAGAGGAGAGGAGAGGAGAGGAGAGAGAGGAGAGGAGAGGAGAGGAGAGGAGCTCCTCTCCCTCTCCTCCCGGGAGAGGAGAGGAGAGGAGAGGAGAGGAGAGGAGAGGACCTCCCCTTGTCCCCTCCCCTCCCCTCCCCTCCCCTCCCCTCCTCTCCCCTCCCTCCCCTCCCTCGCCTCCCCTCCCCTTCCCCTCCCCGAGAGGAGACTCCCCTTCCCCTGGAGAGCTCCCCTCCCTCTCCTCCCAGAGGAGAGGACGACCTCCCCTCCCCTCCCCTCCCGGAGGGAGAGGACCTCCCTCCGAGAGAAGAGAAGAGAAGCAAAGAAAGAAAGAAAGAACATACTGTATTATCATTGACCTTACTTATTGCTCAATACTCAGAGAACCTTTGATGCCGTTCGTAAGACACTCTAGAGTTCGAGCACTGCACTTGGGTAAACAAGATTCGGGATTAGTCCCCTTGAAGCATTCCCCCGAGGGAAGCTTTAGCTTTCATTGTCAAGTTCCATCAGCATTTCGCTGACATCCTTCTGTAACAGACATGTCAGATTCTTCTCTTCTCTGCTCTTGTTGTTTATTTTATTTATTCATTTTTAAATTTACCTGCTGAAATATTTGCTCTTGTAATTTAATTTAGTTTCGATTTGATTTCTCTCAGTAAATCAACTAAATAAACAAATTGTTTCAAATCGATTGATCTGTTTGGTAATTCCTAGACGCTACCTGGACTTTTCCCACCATGAGAGTTTTTAAAAAAATCTTGATCTGGATGGCAGAACTACAGAGCAGATCTAAGATACCCGGTTCAACCTCTGAAGTAGTTGTTCTTAACCTGCGGGTCTCAACACCTTTGGACCTTTTTAGAGGGGTTGCCAAAGATCACCGGGAAACTCACATTCACCGAAGTTATGAAGTAGCAATGAAAATAATGTTATGGCCGGGGGTCACCACAACATCAGGAACTATGTTAAAGGGTCGCGTCATTAGGAAAGTTGAGAACCTCTGATGTAAAGTTAAGTTAAGTAAATAACCCTTTCCATGCCTTTGGGTGTATTGTGCATATATGGCTGAATCTATTATTTTATAGGCCAGTCGAGCACTCGGTGGGGGATGTGGTCAGTATCACCACGGCCATCTTTACTTCCCATGAATCCACCTAGTACCAATTCAAGGCTGGGTCGACTTGTGAGCCAGGGTCTTTTTTTTTTAAACAAGTTCGGTACCGTCAGGATCCGAATCCACGACCCGCTGATCCGCAGGCAAGCGACTAGCCGCTACACCACCTTGATTGTGTAGGTTTCTGTTTGGACTAGTATGTGGGTTAATGTGGGGGGTTATTGTGTGAGTTTCTGTTTGGACTAGTATGTGGGTTAATGTGGGGGTTATTGTGTGGGTTTCTGTTTAGACGTATGTGAGTTAATGTGAGGGTTATTGTGTGGGTTTCTGTTTGGACTAGTATGTGGGTTAATGTGGGGGTTATTGTGTGGGTTTCTGTGTTGTTAAATGTGGGTGTTACTGTGTCGGTAACTTTGTGGGTTGCTGTTTGTGATTGTATGTTTCTGTGTGAGTTTCTTTGAACAGTATTGTGTGGGTTGCCCTGTGGATTACTGTGCGCGTTGCTGTGTGGGTGACCGTGTGTTATTGTGTAGGTTACAAGGTAGGTTTGTTGGTGTGGTACTGTCTGTGTAATTGTGATGGTTACTGTCTGTGTAATTGGAATGGTTACTGTCTGTGTAATTGTGATGGTTACTGTCTGTGTAATTGTGATGGTTACTGTCTGTGTAATTGTGATGGTTACTGTCTGCGTAACTCTGTATGTCTCTGTGTGGCTTTCTGTTTGGGTTACTGTGTGGATACCTAAAAAAAAGGGGGGGGGAAGCGCCGGGGAGAGGGGGATGAAAAACTTTTGACAAATTGACGTTCGAGCCCACTAGGACATCACACTGAGCGATAGACACCCGGTGACACAAAGTGCCTCCATTTGGATGAGGATCGCCCGGGGACAGGTCCCAGAAACCCTGTTGAACCCAGTGTGTGTGTGTGTGTTTTTTTTTTTATAAGTATCCAGAAACCATGAGTTTTAAACTCTTTGGCTCGGTCCTATGGATATCGCAATCCTTCGGCCTTGATTCATGATAGGTACCGTAAATCTGGGAGAAATGGGGCTTTTCTGTCTACCCCCGCGCGTGAACCCGGACCACAAGGAGTTCGTCATCCGGTTACCCCGAAGTCAGATTTAACCAACTACGCTAGCGAGCCGGGCAGGGGTGGGAATAATAGCTCTAGATAACAGCCGAAGTCGGGCTTAACCAAAATTGCGTCCTTCGTGGGGACATATGGTGCTTTACTTTTGACAGCTGTATGACATCTGGCCTGTACAACTGTTAAGTGAAGGTTTCTTCTGTTTGTTCCCAGCGCAAGACTGTGCTTGGTCCAATGAGGGCTGTACCGAGGATTCCGAGTGCTGTAGTAAGTCTTGTCATAGAGCCCACGAGGGGACCAACCCGCGGTGTCGTCACAGTACCCTGGGAGAAAAGTGTGTCTTTGATTATCATTGCCAGGTAAAAGATGCTGTGCTGTTGAATGAATGAATGAGTTAGTAAATGTGCAAATGAATGAATAGAAGAGTGAAAAAATGAAAGAATAAATGAAGTAATGAATGAATGAATGAATGAACAAATGAATGCATGAGTGAACGAATTAATGTATGAATGAATGAACGAATGAGTGAATAAAAGACTGAACGAATAAATGAATGAAATATTGAACAAATGAAAACATTTATGAATGAATGAACAAGTGAATGAATGAACATATGAATGAGTGAATGAATGAACATATGAATCAATGAACAAATGAATGAATCAATGGAAAAATAAATGAACGAATTAACAAATGAAGACATGTATAAAGGTAAAAGGTAAAGTCAGGAGATGTGCAATAGCGCCATTGCACACGTTTATAAACCATAAGTGCTCTGCCACCAGTACGGACAGCTGATAATAAACTCTCCGCCTGTGTCGCCGTCCGCACGAAACTCCATAGCTACAGCGACGTTTCCTTCATTAACCCCAGAGTGTTAACTCTGGTACCCATTACCTAGAGGCTGGGTGAACCCCGGGAACCGCTTGGATTTTAACACAGGCCGTGGGCTGCAGCGAGTCGCAGCTGGATTGGAAAGTGTCTCCTATCGACTGCGCTAATGTGGCCCCTAACAAATGAATGAATGAATTAATTAATTTCACTGCGCTCATTCCCCACAGGTGTTCTGTCCCCTTCATAATTAGCCAACGAAAAATTTCTATGATAATTTTGCCACTTGCATTATGAATAAAAGTCCGACTATTTGTTGCCCTGAATCAGTCTCTCGGAGTAGAGATTCTCACTTGATCCCAGAGAGGTTTTACGTCTAATTTATCCCAGAAAGGTTTCACGCCTACTTTATTCCAGAGAGGTTTCACGCCTACTTTATTCCAGAGAGGTTTCACGTCTACTTTATCGCAGAAAGGTTTCACGTCTGCTTTATCCCAGAGAGGTTTCACTCCTTCTTTATCCCAGAAAGGTTTCACGCCTACTTTATTCCAGAGAGGTTTCGCGTCTACTTTATCCCACAGAGGTTTCACGTCTACTTTATCCCAGAGAGGTTTCACGTCTACTTTATTCCACAGAGGTTTCACATCTACTTTATCCCACAGAGGTTTCACGTCTACTTTATCCCAGAGAGGTTTCACGTCTACTTTATCCCAGAGAGGTTTCACGTCTACTTTATCCTAGAGGGATTTCACGTCTACTTTATCCTAGAGTACTTCTGTTTGTAGAGGATGGATAAATGATGCAAATAAGTAAATAATTTATAATTGAAGTACTAACTCAACAAAGTTCAGGACACAGATAATGAATCGATGGTGGCTTCAAGAAATCTGTCTGCCATTGGACGACATGTGAAGGATTTAAAATGTGTTGTCTTTTTTACTTTATTGTTACTGTAGTAAACACCTGATGAGATACGGTGAGGTTTGCCAGTTTATAAATTATGCACACTCACCTGCGGATTGGAAGGTCATGTGTCCCATATCTTTTGAGGGGGCCGGACGTCGTTTTTTTTTCCCAGCCTTGAGTGGGTACCAGGGATAGTCCTGGGAAGTTAAGGCGACTGGCATTATGTTGATAACATCGTCCATGGAATGCCGATGAGTCTGTAAAATATAGGTCTAGCCCTATATGCCCACCGTTCCTGAAGGTGTGGAAAAGGGATCTTTACTTTTCTGTAAATTGTGCAATCAACTGTTTATGTCCCTTTGTACAAAAGGTTTTTGTTCAAAAAATAACACTTATGGGACCTAAAGAGTTAAGGGCAGATGCAGACAAAGAAGACTTCCTTCCCCTTTACCTTCATCAACATCATTATTATCATAATCATTATTATTATCATCATCATCATCATCATTATTATCATTATTATCATCATCATCAGCAGCACCATACTTATCATCATCATCAGCAGCAGCATCATAATCATCAGCAGCAACAGTGGCATCTTCAGTATAATCAGCTTTATCATCATCAGCGCCTATCATCAGCATCCTCATAATCAGCAGCAGCATCATTTTTAGCAGCAGCAGCATCTTCATCATCATCAGCAGCATCATTATCATCATTATCAACAGCTTTATCATCATCAGCAGTATCATCATTATTATCAGCAGCATTATCATCAGCAGCACTATAATCATCCTCATTATCAGCAGCATCACCACCATCATCATCATCAGCAGCAGCATCATCATCATTATCAGCAGCATTAGCATCATCATCAGCAGCATCATCATCAGCAGCAGTATCATCATCACCATTATCATCATCATTATCAGCAGCATTATCATCAGCAGCAGTATCATCATCATCACCATCATCATTTACATCAGCAGGATCATCAGCAGCAGCAGGATCATAAACATCATCATCAGCATCATCATCACTAACATCATCACCATCAACATCATCAGCAGTATCATCATCATCAATAGAATCACCAACATCATCACCATCATCAAAGGGTCCTTTATGTTGTCCATTTTTTATTCCCAGGATACGCTGACCTGCGGTGTCCACTACAACTGCTGCTCCCCCTACTGGAAGATGTGCATCAAAGATTCTGACTGCTGTGATCATGAACACGTCTGCCGTGCCGCAGAGGGCTTTCTGTATGATCGCTGCTTGTATCCAAGTTCAGGTGGTCTCACACCTGAACACTGCAACATCCTCTCAACCACTTCCATAATTTGTACAGTGTTAATAATTTGGTTGGGTCAGTTCGCTGGTGAGGGTTAAAGGATTTGAACCATGGCTTCAGATGCTGACTGATTGAGAACCACCGATAAAAAAAACCATGTTTATTACTTCCATCAACATCATCATCAAGTGCTCTCAGATTTAAGAGGAAAGGAAAACAGGAAATGTTACTTTTAACATGTTCGGGTTTGCCAGGCATTTTTATCTAGAGACATGACATTTTTTTCTGTATTCACTGCATCGGCCATGCACTCAGAATGTTTAAGACCAGACACCTTCATCAAGCCCTCGTATGGACACCGGAGGGCAAAAGAAAACGGAGACGACCAAGATGAGACCCTGTGAGAACTATCATCAGAGAAGGCTCAACCATGGACCAATTGTGGCAATGAACTGCAAAACATGGAGAGCTATGACCTCTGCCCAATGTGCCGCCCTAGGCTCAAGTGGAAAGACTGACTAACTAACCCTGAGGGCCAGTTGTCACTTTGTGTTGTTTGTAGCTAGCCTGCAATATCCGCACCTTTCAACCGACCACATCTGCAGATCACTAATTAGTTTCCTTTATGAGATGATTGTTAAAATATAACAGTAGCTCTGTCTTTTGCTTCCCCAAAATGGGGTCCCGGAACCCACATAAAAAAATATGAAATGACTGGTACATTAACCTTTCCAGCCATCTTGTCTGAGTTGAGTCAAGAATTGACATTACAGCACTCGGGCATTTACTTGCATGCTCCATCCTCATCTTCAGCAGCCAGCGCAGAGTTCAAAAACTGATGGTACCAGTCACAATCTGTTATATGTCCGTCTTGCTTTTCCTCTGAGTGTAATGAGCCGGCCAGACCCTCTTGTTACACCCAGATGCATCATCTTGTCTGAAAATGTTTAAGATTTAACATTCATTCTTTTACTGTAATTGCTCATTAATTGTGTTACTCTTTAGGTGTCTGTGAAGCCATCTTGTCAGAAAATGTCTACGATTTAACATTTATTCGTCAACATTTTTAGGCTGTAGGAGTTAATAATTAAAATCAAAATTAGCGTTTGTTAATGTTAAACATCTTGGGAGAGAACTAAACAGGCTCCAGTGGACCAAGAGGTGAGGAAAAGACACTGGCGTTGGATAGGACACACACACTGAGAAAATAAGAGAACAGCATAACTAGAATGTCTTTGCATTGGAACCCACAGGGGCATAGGAATAAAGGAAAGCCCAAAAAAACATGAAGAAGAGAGCTGGAGAATGAAGTTAGAAAAATGGGGAGGACATGGGGAGAGCTCCATGCAATGGCGAAGGATAGAACGATTTGGTGTGAGTTGGTTGAGGGCCTATGCTCCATTGGGGGATAGAAAAGCAGAAGAAGAAGAAGAAAGTTAAACATCATACATCCCACATAATATTTCACTGTTTTATTCAAAGTGGAAAAGTTTTTTTTTTTTTCGGTCTCTTGGCGATTAAGAAAACATAATTAAAGATTGTGTTTGTTTGCTATTGTAGAGGTGGAGAACAAATTATTCTTTTTTCTTTTTTTTAAACAATGAAAATCTGCTTGTCTAAAGGTTGTTGTTATGATTATATTGAGAATATGTGAAAAGCCTTTGTAAATCAAGGTTGGAGTGACTTTGTGAAATGACCCTTACCTCCATCTTGACTTGTGCTGAGTTCAAATCTCATCATGAAACAGGTTCTTTGCAGAACATTGCTCTCATCACTGTCTACCTGAAAGAAATTCAGTCTCTCGCCAGCTCTCCCACCGTGTGTACTTTCATCTTCTTTGTGATGGTCAGCCCCTGACTCTCCTTCCTGGTACCATACCTTCTGGTTCTAGTTCACATCTAGTTATGTGCAATTGTTTGCCATGTACGGGTTTGAGGACCCAGTTTTTGTCATCATTATCATAAACCACTTCTGCCGTTAAGTTTTGTGGAGAGAAAAATTTGTGATCTAGTGAACGCTTGCTGCCACAGGCTATCATCATGCCATGAAGGCATAGTGTCTTTAATGTTGTCGATCCGTGTTTTCCACAGCCATCCTCTTGGTCTTGTAGCTGATCTGAGATATAGTGCTTGTGATAGTATATGATCTTGCTGCATTCTAATGAGATGGCCCAACCACTTGATCTGCTGTTTCTCGATGAATCTAGTACAAGGTGTTGTTCCCACAGTTTGTCTGATAGTATCATTGTCTGATAGTATCATTGTCTGATAGTATCATTGTCTGATAGTATCATTGTCTGATAGTATCATTATTCACTTGATCTCAGTTTGAGCACCAAATTAACATCATGGCACACGGGTAATCACCTATAAGTGCTCTGTTCTTCTAACTTAAGTCTGAGTCTGAAGAAGCTTAGCACAGTGCACAGACTCTGTAGCACTGGCGAGGATCCTGAAATACGTTGGGTAGATTTTGCCCAGGCAGTGCCATTAGGCTATTCTTTTCGATTTCCAACAGCTAAGGGGTTTTTTATATGCACAACAATGCACACAAGTGCCCTATCTGACTACCCAGAGACCAGGGAAAATTATTAGAAATTAGGTCCACATGTAAAAACCCCAGCCCTTACCAGGGATTGAACCTCTAGCACTTGAATGATGATACTATCAGACAAATTACGGGACCGAAACATTGTACTAAATTCATCAAGGAACAGCAGCAGCTCAAAGATGGTTTGGCCACCTCGTTAAAATACAGCAGCTTATGTGTGTGGGGTTTTTCCCCTCTGCTCCTCAGCATGCATATTGTGAAAGAAAACTGTTTAAGAGTTTACTGAAATTGAATGTGCTGGACCTTAAGGCACAGATATCACAGCCTGGCTGTAATCCACAACAGAATGTACTACTACCCCCCCCCCCCCCCCCCCCCCCCCCCTTACCCCTTTTTCCTTTTTGAGGGTGATTGCAGAAGAACAGGAGAAACAAGTAGTTTTCGTTACTGATACAAAGTTCTCACTTTTCTATTGTCTTTTTTTTGACAAATTTTTTTTAAAATTGGTGAGTTGTATTTACGTAGTTACTGCTTACAGCATAGCTGTGATATTTGTCCTTTAGCCCCAGACAAACAGAAAAATTAACGAAGGAATGAACAAAGAAACTTTATTTTCAAATGGTTAAGAAAAGGACATGCAGTCCCATCTACTATTCTGCCGTTCCAGTCCGCACCTTCATTCAGTTATTCATTCATTCATAGTTAATAATGTTTCAAAAAAATTTCAAAATTTCTCATTCTTAATTACAGACGCTGCTAACTGCTCTAATTATACATACATTACTGAACTTTTGAAAGAAAGAAAAAAAGACATTTTTTAGGTTGGTAAGAAATATCTAGTGACTTGTTAGAGACTGACAAGTAAGCAGAAAGCAGGGCAAGACAGACAGACAGACTAATAGAGGTGACATTATCAGATGTCTTCTACACCAGTCTGAAGACTGACTAATTGCTGGTGTTGATGATGAGGATGATATCACAGGTTACGAAAATGTAGGCATGGTAAGTATTTATTATGCGGGCTTCAAATGAAAACCTTAAATGTGTGTGTGTGTGTGTGTGAGAGAGAGAGGGGAGGCGAGAGGGAAAGGGGAGAGGAGAGAGAGGGAATATGTGGAGAGAGAGATGAGAGATATAAGAATTATGTGCTGCGCTTAAAAAGTGAAGAACAAATGTATAATTTTGTCATATAATAATTACTGCATTCATGCAAGTACTCCAGCGCTTAGAAAATGTTTGGATTCCCAGGAAATACAAGGTATCACAAAGTCTTTTTCCTCAATTCTAATCTAACCTAGAGTTTAGAGCCTGCTTAAAACAGGAGGGTCCAATGGCTGACACTCAGGGAAAGGATGAGACAATTAGACGATTACTGGTACATTCAAAATTGGAACTCTTCGCTTGCTGCTGAAGATATGAAATGAACACTTATGGTAGTGTCCTGAATGCTGTGATGTCAACTCGATTCAACATTTAACATTTTTATTGCCAGATTCACAAAAATGTTTTGTGGCAAAATGATTTTATTGATGTTTGTAATTAGATTTTATCTGTAATTTCATCAGTTTGTAATTTTTAAATAGATTTTTCACCTTGTCTATTTTAATGCCTTTTTTGTTTAATTCAGTTTGTCCATGAAATGGCATTTCTTTTTCCAGTTTATGTAACTAAATTTCTTGTTAAGGTTCTAATGAAATATTTTTTCAGTCTGTCCATGTAATGACATGTTTTTTTCAATAATTTTGTCCATGTAATAATTACATTTCCATGTTGTCCTTTTTGGTGACACTTTGTACATGCATGAGATATTTACTTTTTCCCGCCTATTCTCATATTTTCTTAACTGGTCTGACTATTTTCTACACATATTTTATTTGTCTGTCAGTTTTCATTACTATCTCTCTACCTATTTTCGTATTCTTATCTTGTCAAATTTCATGACATTTTTTACTTTGTCTGATGTTTACTTTCTGTGTGCATTTTATGGATCTTTGTCCTACCCATTTTAATGGAATTATTTGTTACATTTGTCCTTTTTTTGAAATTGTTAAATTCTGTTTTCATGACAATTTTTTTTTTTTCAACTTTTGATATGTATACCATTTGGTAAACTAAGTTCCATTGTTAATTCTCATTACATGACTTACTAAGCGCAGATCTGATACTGGTACAATTCTCTGCAGTGTCTTATTACATGACTTACTACTGTTGTCACATACCGCTCGTGTGGCGTGCCTGTTTTACGGATTTCTCCTTAAGAACCAACAGCACTCTGAAATAGAATAATGTTGAGGTGTCGACTTGTATTGGTCTAAAGGGTATTCCGTAGCCGATATACACCCAACCTATTTCAGTAGTTCAACTCAAGTTATGGCACTATAGAATATATAATAATCCTAGGCTGGACGTCCCCACTATTATAAGAAGATAGCAAAAAGAGCAGGATCCTGTGTCAGGAAGGGACATAGAATTAGTATTAATCTCAGGAGTCACATACCTAGCTCAATTTATTACCTTCCACCCTTCTCAGTCACTCAGAGGATAGCTCTCAGGATAATGAGACAGTTAAATCTTCATTTATCTCTGTCGTACGAGAGATAGGAGACAGGGTCCATAGTAGAGATAGATAGACTCTTCTAGTCTTCTAGTACACACAGGACATCATCTCTCCACATCACACCTGCACTTGTAGACAGACATATATTTTATACCTCCACAGTCTGACCGTAGCTGACACTGTTGTGCTGTGTCTGCTAAAAATAACCTCTGACAACACAGCATCTCACTCGCTGTAGTTTGACCCAGTTAAATCTGCTGGCTATATCGATCTGAATCTCAGTGTGTTAGAGAATAATTAGCTTGCTAGATTAAAACATTTACATTAATATTAGTCAGGTAGGGCACAAACTATCAGCTTGCGAAGGGAAAGCTTTGGTTTAAGTGGCCGTGAGTACTTGGACACCAAGAACGGTATTGTTCTGTGCTGTCTCATAGCTGAATCTTTCCTTTCTGCAGCAGCAGGTTAACTTCATAGAGAGATATATCATGGTACTCGCAAACTATAATCAACTTCCGGAAGAACACTTCCAGGTTAAAATGGACGCTAGTCGCGGCGCTGTTCGGAGCAGAGGAACATTTTTTGCTTCTGTCGGACAGTGGCCGATGCATTTTTGCTCCATTTGTAGACTGGATATAGTTTCGTCGCCCAGCTTCTGAGTTGAATGCATGGCGTGACCCTGTGAGCTGCGGATTGCATTTGGAATGTTTTCTCGACTGTGACCAACGTGGTGTGAATTGTAGATTCAGAAAATGGCGCGATGCCTGTCGTGCAATGCTGGCGGGGCCCATATTAAAATTAATCACGCGGGCAACTGCTGATCTGTTGGCGACAAGTTCTGCTATCATCAATGATGAACTGCATTTCTAATGTTGGACTGTTTGTGTTAGCACTTCGGATGGCTACCATATGCTTTAATGCGAGTGTGTGCTAGATATGCTGAGACAGCAGTCTGTCAATCTTTCCACAAGGGACTGTGATAAACATTCTGGGTGTTTTTCGCTGGCACAGGAGCGGAGCAAAGATGGGGCGACCCGTTTGCTATGAAGCTGAAACTAAGACTACCAGACAAGACTATAATGAACTTACCCAAGCTTTATTGTCCTAGACCCAAAATGCCGCCTCCTCAAAGCACAGATACTCGAGGCACATTTAGTAACATCAGTTCTTCTTGACAGTCAGACAGAAAATGAAGCGGGATGCTAGGCGTCACTTTCAAAGAAGTACCTCTCAAATCAGTACGCCGAGGAGTAAAAAGGCTGCTTGGAATCTTCCTATTTATCTGGAAAATAAATATCCCACAATTATAAGTTTGAAAATGTAGACTTTTCAAGACAACTAGAGTATATACCTATTACGCCAGATAAAGGTATAAATAGATATGAGGGACTATATACCCACTGGACGGGTCTATATTTGAAATGTGACCTACCCGCTAGGGGCGTTAACGTCACGAATAGTTAAATGTGTAGGGGTGGGTTGGATCACTGCACGACAACTGTACAGACTGCGGATCTGGTACTGGTACAATTCTCTGCAGTGTCATTGTAACAATTGACTGCATGTTACACAGAGCATACTACTGTGCAGACTGCAGCACACCTGATACTGGTACCAATACTGGGGCCACGAACAGTGTCACATTACATGTCTTACACTCATTTACATTCACTCCCCCACACGCACCACGCACTAAAACAAACACACCAAATACACACGCATACATAACCCATACACTCACACACACACACACACATATACACCCACTTTACACACACATCCACATACACACGAACATGCACACACACATACCTATACATACATACACACACACACACATACAGACATAATTATCACACACAGTCACCCACACATGCATAGAACCCAGACACACATAGACACACACAGCTATACACACACACATACATACGTAGCCGCACAAAGACCTATACAAACACACACGCCCGACGCACACAGACATAAACCCACACAGACACACACAAACACATACACACACGCAGGCAGGGAAACACACATACACACACAGGCACGCATACAGTCGCACACGCACACAGACATACAGGCAGATGCATAAATTCACACAAACAGAGACATGCAGACATAATATAATAGATACGATAGAGACACACACAGATACACACAACGCCACACACACAGTCACTCAGCCACAGACAGACACAGATACACACATATACATACATACAAATACACTCACAGATGCACATCAGCTGACAAGGCACTTGATGATGATGACATTGACTCTGGCATGTTTTAAATTCATGCTGTGTCTAGATAATTATTTGTAATTGTTGAATTGTTTTGTCTCTTCCCTTGATTTAGCACAATTTGGTTCTGACATTTTGTTGTTTTTTTACTGTAGAAATTACACCAGAAATCTTACCTGAATCCACTGTGTGTATTGTTATCTACACTTCCCGTGTGGGTTCCAGGGCCCTAGTGGAGGAAAATAGGAACAGACGGCTCTCCTTCGATCTTCCCCCACAAATTATGGCGGCCAAACAAATACCCTAACAGGGCCTCAGTCCTACGCAAAATGCGGAGTTCCTGCCGTGAATAAATCGCGGCAAAACTAGGATCGGCTCCGAATAACAGGCCAATATTATCGAGGGCAAACAAATGCTCTAACAGGGTCTCAGCGATATGTTAATTGTGGACCTGTTTCTGTGACTATATCGCACCGCCGACAGCATCCCCAGGCGCTGCTATGCGCGTTGCGGGGGGGGGGGGGGGGCTAAACTAGATGGCTGGGACTCCCGAGCAGCAGCTACCGCATCTCCTGCAACTTTATTTGCTCCCTGATTGACCGACTCACTGACTGATTGACCGACTCCCTGATTGACCGACTCCCTGATTGACCGACTCCCTGATTGACCGACTCCCTGATTGACCCTCCCTGACTGACTGCCTCCCTGACTGACTCCTCCCTGATTGACCGCCTCCCTGATTGACTGCCTCCCTGATTGACTGCCTCCCTGATTGACTGCCTCCCTGATTAACCATCTCCCTGATTGACCGACCGACTCACTGACTGATTGACCGCCTCCCTGACTGATTGACCACCTACCCGACTGACCGACTCACTGACTGATTGACCGACTCACTGATTGATTGACCACCTCCCTGACTGACCGACTCACTGACTGATTGACCGACTCACTGACTGACTCACTCACTGACCGCCTCTTTGACTGACTCACTGACTGATTGACCGACTCACTGACCGCCTCCCTGACTGATTGACCGCCTCCCTGACCCACTCACACACTGACTCAACAAAATAGACGGCACTCACACAACAAAATAGACGGCACTAGACAACAAAATGACTGACTCGACACACACAAAATAGACGGATAGAAGGCACTCACACAACAAAATAGACGGTACTCATACAACAAAATTTACGGCACTCACACAACAAAATAGATGGCACTCACACAACAAAATAGATGGCACTCACACAACAAAATAGACTGCACTCACACAACAAAATAGACGGCACTCACACAACAAAATAGAGATGATGTCCGCCACAGATGTCATCCTTAGACGATGTCCGCTGACTGACACACTGAATGACTGACACACTGAATGACTGACACACTGAATGACTGACACACTGAATGACTGACACACTGAATGACTGACACACTGAATGACTGACACACTGAATGATTGACACACTGAATGACTGACACTCTGACTGCCTCCCTGACTAACTGACCACCTTCCTGACCAACTGACCACCTCCCTGACCAACTGACCACCTCCCTGAATGACCGACTCACTCACTGACCGCCTCCCTGACTGACTGACTCACTAATTGACTGACTCACTCATTGACTGACTCACTCATTGACTAACTCACTGATTGACTGACTGACTGACTCACTCAATGAACCGCTCACTCACTGACCGACTCAAACATTGATCGACTCAAACACTGACCGACTCAAACACTGACCGAACATGGACACCAGCTCCGGGGGCACATCTCTGGTGGACACCAGCTCCGGGGGCACATCTCTGGCGGACAGCAGCTCTGGGGGCACATCTCTAGCAGACATCATCTCCGGGGGCACATCTCTGGCGACATCAGCTCTGGGGGCACATCTCTGGCAGACACCAGCTCCTGAATGCTCATCTCTGGTGGACATCATCCCCAGGGGCACATCTCTCTGTGGACATCATCTCCAGGGGGGCACATCTCTGGTGGACAGCAGCTCTGGGGGCACATCTCTAGTGGACACCAGCTCCAGGGGCACATCTCTGGCGGACACCAGCTCCAGGGGCACATCTCTGGTGGACACCAGCTCCAGGGGCACATCTCTGGCGGACATCAGCTCTGGGGGCACATCTCTGGTGGACACCAGCTCCGGGGGCACATCTCTGGTGGACATCAGCTCCTGGGGGCACATCTCACCAGCCGGGGGGACATCAGCTCCGGGGGCACATCTCTGGCGGACACCATCTCCGGGGGCACATCTCTGGCGGAGACAGCTCCGGGGGCACATCTCTGGGGGCACATCTCTCCTGGACACAATCTCCGGGGGCACATCTCTGGTGGACATCAGCTCCGGGGGCACATCTCTGGTGGACATCAGCTCCGGGGGCACATCTCTGGCGGACACATCTCTGGGGGCACATCTCTGGGCAGACAGCCTCTCTGGGGCACATCTCTGGTGGACATCATCTCCGGGGGCACATCTCTGGGGACATCAGCTCCGGGGGGCACATCTCTGGTGGACATCAGCAGGCACATCTCTGGTGGACAGCAGCTCCAGGGGCACATCTCTGGCAGACAGCAGCTCCGGGGGCACATCTCTGGCGGACAGCATCTCCGGGGGCACATCTCTGGCAGACATCAGCTCCGGGGCACATCTCACATCTCTGGGGGCAGCAGCTCCGGGGGCACATCTCTGGCGGACATCATCTCCGGGGGCACATCTCTGTAGGACATCATCTCCGGGTGCACACAGTAAATTAAATTAAATTACAATCCCCCGCCCCCCCCCCCCCCCCCCCAAAAAAAAGTAAAATTGTGCAGCCCAAAAAAAAAAACGAGTGGAATTACATAGCCATACAAAAAAAAAGTGCAATTACATAATCCCCCCCCCCCCCCTCAAAAAAAAATTGCAATTACATAGCCAAAAAAAATTAACTACATAGCCACACTCACACAAAAAGAGAGATTACATAGCCACACACAACAAAAAAAGAGAGAAATTACACAGCCACCACAAAAATAAAATTACACAGCCCAAAAAATTACAGTCAAAAAACGATTAAATTACAGCCAAAAAAATGTTACTACACAGCAAAAAAAAAAAAAAAAAAACATTCAATAACACAGCAAAAAATTATGCAATTACAGAGCTAATAAAAAATGAAATTACACAACAACAAAAAAAATTAAATTACACGCAAACAAAAAAAAGACAAATTACATCAAAAAAAAAAAAAAATACATTGCACAACAAAAAAAATTTTTTGAAATTACAGAGCAATACAAAAAAAATTACACAACAAAAAAAAAAATTAAAAAACAAAAAATTAAATGCAATTACATCAAGCCCCAAGGAAAAAAAAAAATTTTGAAGTCTTAACTAGTCCAAAAAAAAAATGAAATTAATTACATAGCCAGGAAACTACACAAAAAAAAGAGAGATTAAAACACCACAACACAAAACAAAAAAAAGAGAAATTACACAGCCACCACAAAAAAAAAATGAAATTATACAGCCCAAAAAAATTACACAGCAAACAAAAAATTATATTACATTGCAAATACAAAATTGATTTTTTTTACAGCAAAAAAACTTTCGATTTTATAACAATATGATTAACTTTAACTCTTTGAGTCCCAGGGAACGCATCATACTTTCATAGGTCTTACCTAGAAGCTTAATGAACTCATGATGTGTTGATTTTAGTCTCTCTTTACTACCCATTAGGCCTGTGATCCTAAACCCCCTGGGACTCAAAGAGTTAAGTCCTAGGAAACGTATCACGGGCCTATTTGTTTCAACAGCCCAATAGAGGCGTGACAAGTGAAGGTTTTTAAACTACCACTGACGGGTTATAAAAAGCAGACCGCCCAATTTCAACTTCCTTTAGAGTTCTTTGTTTCTGATAGAAACGTGGGTTGAAAGCGAAAAATATAGTAAATTTGCGAGATTCACCTAGTTACTAAGTGTTTGTTTAAAAATAACATGGCCACCAAGCAGTATTCTACGTGGGATGCCAACATGATTTACGGTTTTAGAAGCCTCAAATTTAAATAAAGAATGTTTTTTTTTTATTCATTCAAAGTTAGATAGATAAAATTGTGAAACATACATGTTTCAGTCATTTAAAGAGTCAAACTTTGATGAGGGATATGTTTAATGACATCTCATGTGGACATCTCAGGACATGGACACTTTAGGAAGGTGCAGACATTAACATCTTATGCGGCTGTGGGACAGTACTGAAACTAACTTCAGTAAGATCCAAGAAAAACAGCAGACAAACTTATATTACAACGAAAAAAATATTGTCATTTACGCAGCGACATAGATTGAAATTCCACAATAAAAATTTTGCATTTATATGGCAACATGACTTAAATTAAACAGAAAAGTGACTGAAAATACATAGAAAAAGTACAATTACACAGTAAAATAAATTAAATTACACAGCCCCAAAAAAAAAAAAGAAAAAAAAAGTGAAATAACATAGCCCAAAAAAAAAAAAAAAAGGAGTGGAATTACATAGCCACAAAAAAAAAAACAACAAGTGAAATTACATAGCCCCAAAACAATTTGAAATTACATAGAAAAAAAAAAAAATGTGAAATTGCATAGCCAAACTCACAAAAAAGAAAGATTACATAGCCAAACACACACACACAAAAACGAGAAATTACACAGCCACCACAAAAAAAAATTAAATTACACAGCCCAAAAAAATTACAGTAAAAAAACAATAAAATTACAGCCAAAAATAAATGTTACTACACAGCACCAAAACAAACAAAAAAAAATTCAATTACACAGCCAAAAAAATTATGCAATTACAGAGCCAATAAAAAATGAAATTACACAACAAACCAAAAATTAAATTACACCGCAAACAAAAAATGAAATTGAACAGCCAAAAAAAAATTACACAGCAAACAAAAAAAATGAAAACACATTGCAAACACAAAATCGATTTTTTTTTTAATAGCAAAAAAAAACTTTAGATTTTATAACAATATGATTAACTCTAACTCTTTGAGTCCCAGGGAACGCATCATACTTTCATAGGTCTTACCTAGAAGCCCAATGAACTCATGATGTGTCGATTTTAGTCTCTCTTTACTACCCATTGGGCCTGTGATGCTAAACCCCCTGGGACTCAAAGAGTAAAGTCCCAGGAAACGCATCACGGGCTAATTTGTTTAAACGGCCCAATCGACACGTGACAAGTGAAGGTTTTTTAATCTACCACTGACGGTTATAAAACGCAGACCGCCCAATTTCAACTTCCTTTAGAGTTCTTTGTGTCTGATATCAGGCGTGCTCATTTAGAAACGTGGGTTGAAAGCGAAAAATATAGTAAATTTGTGAGATTCACCTAGTTACTAAGTGTTTGTTTAAAAATAATATGGCCACCAAGCAGTATTCTACGTGGATGCCAACATGATTTACGGTTTTAGAAGCCTAAAATTTAAAAAAAGAACATGTTTTTTTTTTAGATTCATTCAAAGTTAGATAGATAAAATTGTGAAATAGACATGTTTCAGTCATTTATAGAGTCAAACTTTGATGAGGGATATGTTTAATGACATCTCAGGCGGACATCTCGGGACATGGACACTTTAGGAAGGTGCAAACAACAACATCTTAGGCGGCTGTGGGACAGTACTGAAACTAACTTCAGTAAGATCCAAGAAAAACAGCAGCCAAATTTATATTACAAAGAAAAAAAAAATATTGTCATTTACCCAGCGACATAGATTGAAATTCCACAGTAAAAATATTGCAATTATATGGCAACATGACTTAAATTAAACAGAAAAGTGACTAAAAATACATAGAAAAAGTACAATTACACAGTAAAATAAATTAAATTAAACCCCCACCCAGCCAAAGAAAAAAAAAGTGAAATTACATGGCAAAAAAAAAAAAAAAAACACGAGTGGAATTACATAGCCACAAAAAAAAAAAAAGTGCAATTACATAGTCCCAAAAAAATTTGAAATTACATAGTCCAAAAAAAAAATTGAAATTACATAGCCAAACTCACAAAAAAAGAGAGATTACATAGCCACACACAACAACAAAAAAAGAGAAATTACACAGCCAAAAAAAAATAAAATTACACAGCCCCAAAAAATTACAGTAAAAAAACTTAAATTACAGCCAAAAAAAAAAATGTTATTACACAGAAAAAAAAAACAACAGAGCCAATTATTACAGCCAAAAATTATGCAATTACACAGCCAATAAAAAATTAAATTACACAGCAAAAAAAAATGAAATTACACAGCCAAAAAAAAAATTACACAGCAAACAAAAAATGAAATTACATTGCAAACACAAAATTGATTTTTTTTTAACAGCAAAAAAACTTTAGATTTTAAAACAATATGATTAACTCTAACTCTTTGAGTCCCAGGGAACTCATCATACTTTCATAGGTCTTACCTAGAAGCCCAATGAACGCATGATGTGTCGATTTTAGTCTCTCTTTACTACCCATTGGGCCTGTGATGCTAAACCCCCTGGGACTCAAAGAGTTAAGTCCCAGGAAACGCATCACGGGCTAATTTGTTTCAACAGCCCAATAGAGGCGTGACAAGTGAAGGTTTTTTAATCTACCACTGACGGGTTATAAAACGCGGACCGCCCAATTTCAACTTTCTTTAGAGTTCTTTGTGTCTGATATCAGGTGTGCTCATTTAGAAACGTGGGTTGAAAGCGAAAAATGTAGTAAATTTGTGAGATTCACCTAGTTACTAAGTGTTTGTTTAAAAATAATATGGCCACCAAGCAGTTTTCTATTTGGATGCCAACATGATTTACGGTTTTAGAAGCCTAAAATTTAAAAAAAGAACAACATTTTTTTAGATTCATTTAAAGTTAGATAGATAAAATTGTGAAATAGACATGTTTCAGTCATTTATAGAGTCAAACTTTGATGAGGGATATGTTTAATGACATCTCAGGCGGACATCTCGGGACATGGACACTTTAGGAAGGTGCAAACAACAACATCTTAGGCGGCTGTGGGACAGTACTGAAACTAACTTCAGTAAGATCCAAGAAAAACAGCAGCCAAATTTATATTACAAAGAAAAAAAAAATATTGTCATTTACCCAGCGACATAGATTGAAATTCCACAGTAAAAATATTGCAATTATATGGCAACATGACTTAAATTAAACAGAAAAGTGACTAAAAATACATAGAAAAAGTACAATTACACAGTAAAATAAATTAAATTACACAGCAAAAAAAAAAAAAAAAAAAAAAAAAAAAAAAGAAAAATTACATAGCAAAAAAAAAAAACGAGTGGAATTACATAGCCAACAAAAAAAAAAAAAATGCAATTACATAGGTCCCAAAAAAAATTTGAAATTACATAGCCAAAAATAAATAAAAAACTACATAGCCACACTCACAAAAAAAAAGAGAGATCACATAGCCACACACAACAAAAAAAAGATAAAGAGAGAAATTAGGGCACACCACCAAAAAAAAAAAAATTACACAGCCCAAAAAAATTACAGTCAAAAAACAATAAAATTACAGCCAAAAATAAATGTTACTACACAGCAAAAAAAAAAAAAAAACAATTCAATTATACAGCCAAAAAAATTATGCAATTACAGAGCCAATAAAAAATGAAATTACACAACAAACCAAAAATTAAATTACACAGCAAAAAAAAAAAAAAATGAAATTACACAGCCAAAAAAAAATACACAGCAAACAAAAAATGAAATCACATTGCAAACACAAAATTGATTTTTTTTTTACAGCAAAAAAAACTTTAGATTTTATAACAATATGATTAACTCTAACTCTTTGAGTCCCAGGGAACGGGGCATCATACTTTCATCCAGTCTTACCTAGAAGCCCAATGAACTCATGATGTGTCGATTTTAGTCTCTCAGGGCTACACATTCGGCCTGTGATGCTAAACCCCCTGGGACTCAAATCAGTCCAAGTTCAGTCAGAAAACGCATCACATCGTCTAATTTGCAGGGGCAGCACATCAATCACACATCGTGCAAGTGAAGGCAGGGCATCTACCACATGTCCGGGGCAAAACGCAGACCGCCCAATTTCAACTTACTTTAGAGTTCTTTGTGGCTGAGGTCGGGTGTGCTCATTTAGGCACGTGGGTTGAAAGCGCAGCACATAGTAAATTTGCGAGCAAGGGTGCAGCAGGAACATCGTTGAGAACCGCTGGAATAGTCCGGGCGACACAGCATCGTTAGAGAGAGAATCAGGACAAGGGCATGTCTGGATTATATTGACAGAGACAAAAATGCAGCACACCATCGTCCAGCCATCTAATGAGAATGCAGCCAGACAGACAGCATATATGATACTTTTTACAAGAACATCGGCAGGAAGGTGAGGGGAAGGCACAATAGAGCAGACAGCAGCATAGCTAAAAACATCTCAGCACACACACAACAAAACAACAACAGGTCCACCAGCAAGTTACCTAAGAAGTGCACATCATACAAGCACAGAAAGGCAGCACACTCGGGTTTTAACATGGTCCCATCAGTGAGGGCACAACAAACAAAGAAACAAAGAACAAGTCCTTCTCTACAGAACTACCTACATCGTTGTGGGCGACAAATCTGAAGATGTGGTGGTTATCAAAGATTACAGGCAGCAGTCACACAAAAACACACCGATGATATTTGACATCTTGCAGAGAGCACCTCAGGAGGACATATGGGGAAGCACAGTGCCTGCAAGAAGTCGGGGCAGCATCTCTCAAAATCTACAGCAGCTGGGGGGCACATCATTCAGGCAGCAGCAACAACAGCAAAATTATCCGGGCAGCACAAAGGGGCAACAGCAGCTCCGGGGGCACATCTCCGGGCAGACAGCAGTCCGGGGGCACATCTCTGGCTTCCGGGGGCACATCTCTGGCTTCCGGGGGCACATCTCTGGCAGACACCAGTTCCGGGAGAACATCTCTGGCGGACATCAGCTCCAGGGGCACATCTCTGGCAGACAGCAGCTCCGGGGGCACATCTCTGGCGGACAGATAACCAAAGTATTAGATAGCACTCACACAACAAAACTCTGGCTGATATCTCTGGATGACATCATCTCGGGGGCACATCTTTGGATGACATCAGCTCCGGGGGCACATCTCTGGCGGACATCAGCTCCGGGGGCACATCTCTGGCGGACAGCACATCCAGGGGCAGCATCTCTGGCGGACATCAGCTCCAGGGCGCACATCTCTGGCAGGACAGCAGCTCCGGGGGCACATCTCTGGCGGACATCAGCTCCGGGGGCACATCTCTGGCGGACATCAGCTCCAGGGGCACATCTCTGGCGGACATCAGCTCCAGGGGCACATCTCTGGCGGACATCAGCTCCAGGGGCACATCTCTGTACTCACACACATCATCGTCCTGGCTGCACATCTCTGGATGACATCATCTCCAGGGGGCACATCTTAGCAGACAGCAGCTCAGGGGCACATCTCTGGCAGCAGCAGCTCCGCAGCACAGCACAATCTCCAGCAGACAGCAGCTTAGGGCAGCACATCTCCGGCAGACAGCAGAAAGGGCAGCACATCTCTGGGCAGACAGCAGCTCCGGGGGCACATCTCTGGGGAGCAAGCTTCGGGGCACATCTCTAGCGCAGCATCATCTCGGGGTCACATCTCTCACTGGTGGACACCAGGGGCAGCACATCTCTGTCCAGGCAGCAAAGTATTAGACAGTCGCACACACAGCACATCTCTGGGCAGAAATCTCAGGGATGACATCTGGGGCAGCACATCGTCTTTGCAGCATAGCATCTCCAGCGGCACAGCGTCTCTGGTGGACAGCAGCTCCGGGGCACAGCACATCGTCTAGGCAGACAGCAGCATCGTCCTGGCAGCACATCTATGGCAGGAGCATCATCTTTGGGGCAGCACATCTCTGGTGGCTCCGGGGGGCAGCATCAGCAGGCACATCAGCATAGGGGCAGGTCAGGGGCAGCACATCTCTAGTGGACAGCAGCTCTAGGACCACATCTCTGGCATCACAGCGGGCAAAACAGTATTAGAACAGGCACTCTGGCACACTAGGGGCAACAAACACTCTGGCTGAGGCACATCTCTGGACATCAGCATCTCCGGGGGCAGCCGTCCAGGCAGCGTCAGGCAGCAGGCGTCGTCCAGGCAGCACATCGTCCAGGCAGCAGGCGTCGGGGGGCAGCACATCGTCCAGGCAGCAGGCGTCCAGGCAGCAGCACATCGTCCAGGCAGCAGCAGGCGTCGGGGCAGCACATCGTCCAGGCAGCAGGCGTCGGGGCAGCACATCGTCCAGGCAGCAGGCGTCGGGGCAGCACATCGTCCAGGCAGCAGGCGTCGGGGCAGCACATCGTCCAGGCAGCAGGCGTCAGAGCAGCACATCTTTCGGTCATCAGCTGATGTCTTGACCTGTCATTGGGTGACAGAATGTAACGAATAAATGTAAAAACAATATAACAGAATGTAACAACAGAAGGTAAAGACAGAATGTAATAACAGAAGATAAAGACAAAGTGTTACAACAGAAGATAAAGACAAAGTGTTACAACAGAATGTTAACAACAGAATGTAACAACATAATGTAACAACAAAAGGTAAAGACAGAATTAAAGACAATATAGCAACATAATGTAACAGAATGTAAAGCAGAAAGTAACGACAGAATGTAATGAGAGTGTGTAAAACTGCCCTGGTCTATTAAAAGGACATATGTCCAATGACCCCGTGGCTTTAAAGAGAATCCCACAATTTGTTGTTCTCAGTCCTTCTCTGCTGCTTAGACACTCAAATGTCTCCCCTCCAGCAAAACAGTAAATGAGTGACAGCATCTTCGTCCATACTCCATGCTATCAGTGCCAGACAGGGACAATGAAATGTCAGCGGTTCTCAAACTGGGTGCCGCAGCACCCCAGGGTGTACACTTACATCAAATCACTCTGGCCATTAGTTTTTTATATACGCTTACATCATATCACTCTGGCCATTAGTTTTTTATGTACGCTTACATCATATCACTCTGGCCATAAGTTTTTTATGTACGCTTACATCATATCACTCTAGCCATTAGTTTTTTTTTTAGTACGCTTACATCATATCACTCTGGCCATTAGTTTTTTTATGTAAGCTTACATCATATTACTCTGGCTATTAGTTTTTTTATGTAAGCTTACATCATATCACTCTGGTCATTAGTTTTTTACATACGCTTACATCATATCACTCTGGTCATTAGTTTTTTTTTTTATGTACGCTTACATCATATCACTCTAGCCATTAGTTTTTTATGTACACTTACATCATATCACTCTGGCCATTAGTTTTGTATGTACACTTACATCATATCACTCTGGGTCGGGGCATTCGTCCAGGCAGCAGGCGTACACTTACATCATATCGGGGCAGTCGGGGCAGCACATCGGGGCAGCACATTGTCCAGGCAGCAGTCGGGGCAGCACATCGTCCAGGCAGCAGGCGTCGGGCAGCACATCGTCCAGGCAGCAGGCGTCGGGGCAGCACATCGTCCAGGCAGCAGGCGTCGGGGCAGCACATCGTCCAGGCAGCAGGCGTCGGGGCAGCACATCGTCCAGGCAGCAGGCGTCGGGGCAGCACATCGTCCAGGCAGCAGGCGTCGGGGCAGCACATCGTCCAGGCAGCAGGCGTCGGGGCAGCACATCGTCCAGGCAGCAGGCGTCGGGCAGCACATCGTCCAGGCAGCAGGCGTCGGGGCAGCACATCGTCCAGGCAGCAGGCGTCGGGGCAGCACATCGTCCAGGCAGCACATCGTCGGGGCAGCACATCGTCCAGGCAGCAGGCGTCGGGGCAGCACATCGTCCAGGCAGCAGGCGTCGGGGCAGCACATCGTCCAGGCAGCAGGCGTCGGGGCAGCATCGTCCAGGCAGCAGGCGTCGGGGCAGCACATCGTCCAGGCGTCGGGGCAGGCAGCAGGCGTCGGGGCAGCACATCGTCCAGGCAGCAGGCGTCGGGGCAGCACATCGTCCAGGCAGCAGGCGTCGCAGGGCAGCACATCGTCCAGGCAGCAGCATGCGTCGGGCAGCACATCGCAGGCAGCATCAGGCAGCAGGCGGAGCAGCACATCGTCCAGGCAGCAGGCGTCGGGGCAGCACATCGTCCAGGCAGGCGTCGGGGCAGCACATCGTCAGCAGGGCGGGGCAGCACATCGTCCAGGCAGCAGGCGTCGGGGCAGCACATCGTCCAGGCAGCAGGCTTCGGGGCAGCACATCGTCCAGGCAGCAGGCGTCAGAGCAGCACATCTTTCGGTCATCAGCTGATGTCTTGACCTGTCATTGGGTGACAGAATGTAACGAATAAATGTAAAAACAATATAACAGAATGTAACAACAGAAGGTAAAGACAGAATGTAATAACAGAAGATAAAGACAAAGTGTTACAACAGAATGTAACAACAAAATGTAACAACAAAATGTAACAACAGAATGTAACAACATAATGTAACAACAAAAGGTAAAGACAGAATTAAAGACAATATAGCAACATAATGTAACAGAATGTAAAGCAGAAAGTAACGACAGAATGTAATGAGAGTGTGTAAAACTGCCCTGGTCTATTAAAAGGACATATGTCCAATGACCCCGTGGCTTTAAAGAGAATCCCACAATTTGTTGTTCTCAGTCCTTCTCTGCTGCTTAGACACTCAAATGTCTCCCCTCCAGCAAAACAGTAAATGAGTGACAGCATCTTCGTCCATACTCCATGCTATCAGTGCCAGACAGGGACAATGAAATGTCAGCGGTTCTCAAACTGGGTGCCGCAGCACCCCAGGGTGTACACTTACATCAAATCACTCTGGCCATTAGTTTTTTTTATATACGCTTACATCATATCACTCTGGCCATTAGTTTTTTATGTACGCTTACATCATATCACTCTGGCCATAAGTTTTTTATGTACGCTTACATCATATCACTCTAGCCATTAGTTTTTTTTTAGTACGCTTACATCATATCACTCTGGCCATTTTTTTTTTTTTAGTACGCTTACATCATATCACTCTGGCCATTAGTTTTTTATGTAAGCTTACATCATATCACTCTGGTCATTAGTTTTTTACATACGCTTACATCATATCACTCTGGTCATTAGTTTTTTTTTATGTACGCTTACATCATATCACTCTGGCCATAGTTTTTTTATGTACACTTACATCATATCACTCACTCTATGGCCATCATATTTCGGGGCAGCACATCGTCCAGGCAGCAGGCGTTACAGCACATATCACTCACTCGTCGGGGCAGCATTCGTTCCAGGCAGCAGGCGTCAGGGCAGCACATCGTCCAGGCAGCACATCGTCAGGCAGCACTGTCCAGGCGTCAGGCGTCAGGGGCAGCACATCGTCCAGGCAGCAGGCGTCGGGGCAGCACATCGTCCAGGCAGCAGGCGTCGGGGCAGCACATCGTCCAGGCAGCAGGCGTCGGGGCAGCACAGGCGTCGGGGCAGCACATCGTCCAGGCAGCAGGCGTCGGGGCAGCACATCGTCAGCAGCAGGCGTCGGGGCAGCACATCGTCCAGGCAGCAGGCATCGGGGCAGCACATCGTCAGCAGGCAGCAGGCGTCGGGGCAGGCGTCGGGGCAACACCACGTCCAGGCAGCAGGCGTCGGGGCAGCACATCACATCGTCCAGGCAGCAGGCACATCGTCCAGGCAGCAGCGTCGGGCAGCATCGTCCAGGCAGCAGGCGTCGGGGCAGCACATCGTCCAGGCAGCAGGCGTCGGGCAGCACATCGGGGCAGCAGGCGTCGGGCAGCACATCGTCAGGCATCGTACGGGCGTCCATCTGTCCAGGCAGCAGGCGTCGGGGCAGCACATCGTCCAGGCAGCAGGCGTCGGGGCAGCACATCGTCCAGGCAGCAGGCAGTCGGGGCATCACATCCAGGCAGCAGGCGTCGGGGCAGCACATCGTCCAGGCAGCAGGCGTCGGGGCAGCACATCGTCCAGGCAGCAGGCGTCGGGGCAGGTCCAG